CTCCATCAGGTTGGGGGGTGCTACCAGCTGCCCCATGCAGACACCCCCAGAGCTGAGAGTTCAGAAGCCCATGCCAGGTAGAGGGGGGCGTCCAAGGCTGCCACCCCCACCCTGACGGCTGTGTTTTCCTGCTGTTCTCTGCAATTTCATTTAAATACCTCCCCAGAGCCAGCCCAGCAGCATCCGCCTGCTTCCCTTCCGGTACCATAAAAGGAGAGAGACTGAGAATAGCTGAGCCGTGACGCAGCGAGGAGCTTCCCCACGCAGGAAGGCTCTGCACACTGAGCCTGCTGCCACCCAGGGCCCGCCTTGCCCTGCACCTGCTCTGCCCCTGCCTTGGGGAGAGGCGGGGACCTGACAACGGGGCCGGACACTGGTCACATTGCCCCTGCCGCTGGAGGCTTTGTGACTCTAACAAACCTAGACCTTGTATCAGGTATCTGTTTACCCATACCCTAGCGTTCCGGGCCCCAGGAAAAGCAGGTGGCCTTGGCCGTGAGTACAGGCTGAAGGGTCTAAGGTCTAGTCTGAGCTTGGCGTAGTGCCAAGATGAGAACCTCTGAGGATGCCTGGAGTTACATATGCCTGACACGTCTCATTCTCTCACGTAGGGAAGAAGAGGTGCCAACAGGGGCAGAGCACAGTGCTCTGGAGGAGTCCAAATCAATAGAGAATTTCAAGACCCAGAAGGACTTCCTGGAGGAGGAGTTTGGGGGTGGTACACAGAAAACGGCAAGGGAAGCCAATGCTGTGTCCCCTCCTGGCCTCCAATTATGGGTTAACCTCTTCTGGCTGGTGACCCCTCCATTTTTCTTCTCAGGAGTGCTGGACCTGGACCCTTATCCTCTTCTGCTTCCTCCTGACTGGGACGGCTCATCTGCTGCCACAAGCCAACTGAACTGAGTTCTCAAGCCTCTGACCTGGGCTTTGAAACAGGTGGGCCATGACAGCCAGCTCCCGGCGGGTGACCTGTGCAGACATCTGGAAGCCCAGTGTGTCTCTCCACTTCCTGTGATTTCCTAGCCAGGCAAGTGTGTCTCTACTACTAGTAGGTATCACAGGCACCGGGCATGGTACTTGATCCTTGGACTCACAGGGAAGTCGGCCTTGGGGTCTGCCCCAAACTGACCGGTTGAGAGAAGTAGGCCACCCTGCCTAGCTGAGGGAGGAGTCCACTGTTGTGTGGGCTTTCTAGAAAGCGGGTAGATACTGCAGGGGTCAGATGGCCATCACAACTTCTCAGCTGTGACCTTCGTTGACGGTGTGGACACAATTGCCACCACATCCCAGTCACTTCCTCACCATCATTGTCCCCACCAGTACCATATCTCCGAGCACCACTCCATCAGCCCATGACCACCAGCAGGACCCCACTGTGACCCCCACACTGACATCTCCGGTTGCACCAGCACCTTGACCTCCATACTGCCAACCCCAACAATACCATCACTGTCACCGACCATCGCTCCCACTGCCGGTGTCTGCATTGCCACTGTCACCCACCACCCCTTTTGCGTCATGACCCTCCATTCCCGGAGGCGTCCCCACTGTCAGCATTTCAGAGTCAGAGTGAAGTGTGTGTTTTTGCTTGTGTCCTTGGGGAGACTTTATTCTGACTCCCCGGTTGGTGAGAAAGATGGAATCTCAATCCTGGCGCATGACACCTTGGAAAGTGAGGCAGGTTGGGCTCTCTGTCCAAAAGGGCCTATCTCCCCCCTCCAAACACAGAGAGGGCATCAGTGGGGTGCAAGATCCCAGATGGTCTCGGCTAGTCCAGTAGTCAGAAGGAAACTCTGTCCCCGTCTCTGGAGGACATCACTTGGCATTAAATTAGATAAAACTCTGCTCCACCCCCAGAGCTGGGCAAAGAACAGTTCTACGCTGTTTGAAACAGTAATTTTGAAAGGCCTGCAAGCTGCCCTTAAAGGCGCACGGCTACTGATGCAATTTTGTTGATGACCTGAAAAGACATTCCAGGAACTAAAGAAGGTGTGCTCTTGCTAAGAACATCTGAGCTCAGGGCCTGATGGATTTTGAGGCTTTTCTCAAGTACCATTCTGTGTTCTTCTGTCCGGCTTCAGTCCTCACCTGTGATGTAGCGCAGTGACCATTAAAAGCCTGTAGCCCTGTGGTGATTGGCCACCGTGGCAGTGGGTGCCAAGAAGGGAAGGGAGGACGGGCACATGAAGCACCCTCTTCCATGTGTCACCTCAGCTGTTATAGAACTTAGGATCTCAGTGCCAGAGGGCATGTTCAGCAAGTACGGGTAGCCCTGTGTCATCCTCCTGAGTGGGTGCAGATGTCACTGTAGCTCCCTGCATCCCTCAGAAGCTGTAGCACAGTGACCTCTGTGGCCAGCAGAACGTGCAAGGCCACCTGACCTGACCTAGTGTTATCCTAGTCTCTTGGCTGGGCCCAACTTCCAGGATGGTGCAGGAGCAGGGATGCCAGGACAGTGGGTGGGCACAGCAGCTCAGCCTCATGAAACCCACATTGTCAAGTCTCCAAGGATGAAGCCTTTTTGTCTCCTTGTTTCTAATTAAAAAGAATTAGTCAGTGGAGTGACACGTTTACGAGGAGAGCCAAGTGACACTGCTGCCCCGGTTTATTAATAAAACGGGAGGGGGAGCAGATTCCCACGCTGCAGGAGCCTGGCGTGGCTCATTCTCACAGCACAACGGCTTGGAAGCCCAAGCTGCTTCCCAAGTTAACCAGTCCCTCCTTAGGCTTCTCTCCTACCTCCCTCCTCTTCCTCCTTCCCTCCCAGCCTCCTTGTCTACCTTTCCTGGACTGGGAGAAAAAAAAGAAATGTGTGTGGGAGGGCTCCCCGCAGGGCCCTCCACATTTCTCCCATGCCAGGGAGCCTAAAGAGAATAGGACCACAGGGGGTGGGGAGTGTGGCCAGAACCAGCCCCGCGCCCCAGGAATTGACACTCAGCCAGGGAACGTCCATCACACAGGAGGGCTTACTGCTACCCCAAGGCAGGGTCTCAACTTTGGGCTAGGCCTGTCACAGCTCCTTTTCTGGCCTCACTTCCTCACTGGGCAGTGGGAGTGCTAAGCTATAGCACCCCGGTCACCCATCATCTGTTCAGGTGAAGTCTGAGGACACTTGGGACAGGCGGAGCCCGAGAAGGAAGACTGAAGCAGCCAGGGACACATAGGCCTCCACCTTGGGCAGAAGTGGAGTGACCAGGCCATACCATAGCTCCCATCAGAGACAGCTCTGACCACACCCAAACCAGTTTCTCCTGCCAATTCATACATGGCACCGGAGCTAGGAGAAGCAGACAACTGAGATGGTCCTGGGAAATGCCCCACTCCACTGGGGATGCCTGGGCCGGAGAATATCCACCCTCACTGGCAATCCGTGCCCATTAAACATGTTATTATGAAAGAAAATGTCACCATAGCCAAACTGATATTGATGCTAACCCCACCCCATCTGTACCCCATGCCAAACCCATCACCTGTGACATTTACATTCTATTGCTGTCATTATCCCCATGACTATCACCAGCACCACCATGACCATTGTCTGTCACTATCCCCATGACTATCACCAGCACCACCATGACCATTGTCAATATCATCACCACTACTACCTTTGACATCACCATTACCACTGACACCCTGATTACCACCATGACCACCTACCTCCACCACCACCATCATCACCACCATGACCATCTACCTCCACCACCACCACCAACACCCTGATTACCACCATGACCATCTTCCTCCACCACCATCCTCATCACCAACACCCTGATTACCACCATGACCATCTTCCTCCACCACCATCCTCATCACCAACATCCTGATTACCACCATGACCATCTACCTCCACCATCCTCATCACCAACACCCTGGTTACCACCATGACCATCTACCTCCACCATCCTCATCACCAACACCCTGGTTACCACCATGACCATTGCCATCATCATCACCATCAGTAGCATCACCACTATCACTGATTATGACATCTGCCATCATCACATCAACACTGTCACCATTACCACCACTGTAATTGTCATCAGCTTCTCCGCCATTATCATCAGCATTGCCACCATCACCGAACTTGTTATCTCCATGCCCACTATCCTCAGTTACCACCCTGACCCTTACAGCCACCATCATCCCTGCTGCCATCTTCCTCAGCACTGCCATCACTGTTGTCACTGTCAGGACCATCATCCTCAACTCCCTCAACAACACTGTCCCAATTATCACCCTTACCACCGTTGTCCCCTATTACTTTCATCACCACTAATGGTGCCTTTACAGTGTCATAATTGTCCAGGTCATCCTCGCCACATAGTCACCTTTCCCGCTACCATCTTCATTAATGCCAGCCTGCTGCCATCATAGACATTTTTATTACCATAGCTACATAGTTAATCTCATCACCTCATCTGTCCAGTGTCAACTCTGCCTTCAAAATAGCCATTCCCCATCCACCCTGTCTCCTCCTCCCTGACTTTCTGTCCAGGCAGCCCTCACACAGTCTCGGCCCCTCCCTCCCTGCCCCGTGGAACCCAGGACAGTTAGAGCAATACTCAGACCCCACTAGGCTCAGTATGTGCGGAACTCTGGGATACAGCTCTAAGGTGGCTTCCAGAGTATGCACAGAACTTAGCCCAGAAGGTGGGGCTGTGCACTGCTGGGTTTTAGGGACTGGGCCTGCACAGTTAATGAGACTAGGCAAGCAGCGGGTGTCACCAAAGGAGGACACCCAAATGAGCCTGGACAACCTGACCATGGCACTCCCCCTGAGTAGGTGGGGATGCCAGAAAAGAGACAGCTCTGGGAACAAGATAGAGGGACCTCAGAGGCCATACCTTACTCCAGCTGGGCTGGTGACTTGTTTGTCTAAGGTCCTCCCTCTGAGTTACAGTTTTGATTCAGCTGGTGTCTGTCAGTGACTTCCCTCTGTGCCAGCATATTGGGGAAGCCCAGAAGTGACTCATCATATCTCTGTCCACAGCTGATTCTTCCCCTAGTCAGAAAATGCTGAGAGCCACAGAAGCCTAGAGAAGGGGAGTGGCAGTTGCCCTGAGATGGGAACCAGAGAAAGCTAGCAGTCAGGAACCAGCCAGATACTTCAGGGTGAGGAAGTGGGGGGGCTGAGTATGTGCCCTGATGGAGCAGTGGGTCCCCCAGACTAGGCCTCCTCCAATCCAGCCAGACCTGCCTCATTATTGCCCTGCTGTCCTAGACCAGCACCAGCACCCAGAAACACGGAGACCTCGGACTGGACCACTGCATGGACTCTGCGCCCTTCTTCAGCTGCAATCCAGACGGCATCATACACCTCTCCCCAGCTCTCTGAACCACTCTCTGAGTCCCCTCTTGGTGAGCTTCACCTTTAGGCCCAGTCGAAAGAGCTGGTGGGTCTCAGACCTGAATTATGTTGCCCAAGTGCCCAGAGATGGCTGGAGCCTTAGTCTGTTGCTTGTTGGTTGGGCTGCTCTGCTCGTGGTGAGGAGAAGGGGCAAGGATGAGGGAGCAAGGTGGAGTCAGAGGACAGATAGGAAATTGCTGTGCCTTTTAGGACCCAGTCCCCAAAGGACACTTTCCACCTGTCTATTCCTTAGCCAGGCTGTGCTCATGCAGCAGGTGGGAGATGGGCTTCTTTCTTCTCTCCAGTGGGAGAATGTCTAAAAATCCAGATGCTCTGAGATCAGTGCAAGCAGCATCCACGGGAGGTGTGAAGAGTGCCCTACCCCCAATCTCTTCTCGGCAGTGTGTGTGTGTGTGTGTGTGTGTGTGTGTGTGTGTGTGTGCTGGGGAATCAAACTGAGCTCCCTAAATGTGAGACAAATGCTGACCCACAGTCCCACACTCCATTCTTCACAGGGAAAAGGAAGGGAACAGCTGGGGAGTGTCACGACTGTGATCTGGCTTCTGGCCCGGGTGCTACTGGTAGGGCTACTGTGTTAACAGTAGTGGCCTGGCACTGTCCCTTCCCTCATGTGCCTGGTCAGAAGCAAAAGGGCTCCTGCAAATTGAGATATACCCTGGAGGCAAATACATGCTTGAGGCCAAGGGGAGAGGAGCGGAGGGAGGAGGCGGATTGTCCCGTGCAGCCTCTTTGAAAGACATTGACTAGCACACTGTCACCAGGCTGCAGTCAGAGAGATGGTGAAAAGACAGGAAGCCACAAAACCTGCTGTTCCAGCATGGGGTGGGTGCTCAAGCCACAGGGCCTCTATGTGCCTATTCCAGCAGGTTCCATGAAATCAGCCATTAAACCCTGCCCCTCACTGTGAACCCCTTCTCACTCAGCTGGGACATGATAGGCTGGACTGGTCAGCCTTGGTCAGGCTCAGCAAGGTATATTGGGAGGAATCCAGAGAGAAGTCTCTGGAGGGAGAGGTGGACTGTCTGTAGGCTCCCAGGGCCCGGGAAGGACTGCACAGTAGGCAGGGAGGACTTGGTTTTGCCTCTGCCACATACATATGCATGTACTGTAATGCAGCCGTCAGTTGTGTGTGCTCACATGTCATAGGAAACATCAGCCTCAAAGCTGGGCTTAGATACTCCCTCGGATCTCCCCCCCCCCCCCCACAGGCCTTACCAGTGTGCCTACCTCCTGGTAGAACTCGCTCAAAAGCCAGGGCCCTTTTCAGCACCTTGGACAGAGCAACAGCTCTGGGCATCCTAGGATGAACTAGGTCCTGTCTGCCTCTCCCTATATCCTGTATCTGGAGAAAGTCGGGGCACTGGCTGCTTTCTGGTCAGCGAACAAGGACCAGGTGGCAGAGACCATGCCAGAAGTCATTTCTGGGCTGTCTGAAGACAGCTCCTCTCTCTCCTGGGGGCCCTAGAGACAATGCTTCACAGAAGTCAGAATAAAAGCGAGAGCAGGGCCACCTCCACTCCCTGCTACCACGGAGTTCTCATCTGAAGGCATGGAAGACAGTGGAATCCGTGGAGCTTGCTAGGCATTCTGCGGGTGGATCTGCCAGCGTAGCCTTCCTCCCACAACTGTGGCCCCGCCGCCTGGTTCCACTCTGCATAGCCCAGGGCCCATTTACCCTCAATGTGGAGAGATCCCATCACCCTGTCTAGGGACAGTAGAAGCATGAGAGGTCTGGAACTCACTGGCCTTAACAGCAATAGTCCTAGGTAAATGTGGGCTCTTCCTCCTCATCTCCTTTGTCCCCAGAAACCACCCAAAATCAAGACCGCTGAGTACCAATTCTATAGGCGTGACTGTGCAGAGGAGGCTCCAGAGGTCCCCAGCGCTCTTGGATTTTTGTCCCTGTCCCATCTGACCATGGAACTACCCTCTTCAGGAAGCTTGCCCTTTGCCTCCAAGGTCTCCTGCCCTTTTCTCCTCCTAACTCCCATGACCCTCTTCGAAGGTCTCCAACTTGCCTCTATAGACGCTGTTGCGGCTTCTGGGCTCAGGTAGGTGGGGACCATGTCCAGTGAAGCACAGAGCCCCTGAAGGGTCACCTCCAGCAAAGCTCTCTGAAGTTAACTCCCAGGACCACTATGAGTCCTATCCCTCCTCATCATACCTCGGGACTACCCCCTGATCCCTGAAGCAGGTCACTTCTACCTGGTGAAGTCAAAGCTCAGATTCTCATTTGGTTGGTTGCTGACGACAGAGCTCAGAATGGAGAGAACCTTGTCTCAGGTCTCTGGATGCACTGTAGACCCAGAGGAAGGCTGGAGCCCAAGGTCTGAGTGTGGGAGAGCCCAGCTATGGCATTCAAACTCTCCACCCCAGCAGTGAGTCAGCCCCACAGTCACCGACCACCCCCAGGACACTGTCACCAGGGGGACCTGGCATCTTAGTGTGAAGCTCTGGTGGGTGCTAGCAGAGGAGTGTGGCCAAGGACAGCAGTGAGTCACCTGTGGGGGAGAGGCAGAGGAACCGCTTTGGGCTTCTCTGGGGGGGCTCCCAGATTCCTGGTCTCATGTCTTGTATGATTTGCAGAACGTAAGGGTCCAGTTTCTGTATGTACCAAACCAGGGCTTGGCCATAGACCAGGATCAAGCCTAAATATGGGAGCAAAATGAGGCTTCAGCCTATGACTAGGGGCAGCGCTCAGTGTGTGACCAGAATGAGGGCTCGGTGCGTAGCTTAGGTTCTTTTTTCCAGTGCTGTGATAAAATTCCCCGGGAAAGGGATTGTTCTCACTCAGAGTTCATGGTACACAGCTCATCATGGTAGGGAAGTCACGTGGTCAGGAGTTTGACGCAGCTGGTGACGTTATGTCCACAGAAGAGAGTGATGAATATGTCCTGCTGCCCGGGTCCCCTTCCTCGCTTACAGTCTGAGATCCCAGGCACAGAATGCTGATACTGTGAGTGGCTCTTTCCTCCTCCCCTCGCTGGCACTCACCGTGGGTGGGTCTTTCACCCCCTCACTTAAGGTAATGAAGAGAATTCCCCACAGGCATTTCCGCAGGCTCATGTTCCAGGTGACTGTAGATTCTGTGGCCTGGATCAGGGTTCATTACATGTGGTCAGGATCAGGGCTCAGTGCTTCTAGGGCTCAGTGCTTCTAGGGCTCAGTGTTTCTAAAGGCAGAGTGCTGTCTGGTGCCAGTCTTGTTTTGACCCTTCATTATCAGGTTGCCTCCCCAAGTCCTGCCTCTCACCCGGATTGGCATCAAGGCCTCAGGGCAGTGGGCACTGTGCAAGATCCAGCCAGAACAGCAAAGTGTTCTTCTTGTCTGTGAGGAGTGAGGGTGCAGAGGCCCTCATAGTATCCATAGTATCTTCACATTGTGTTTGTTCCCAGGCTGGAGGACTGCCCTCAGCGTAGTGCTGAAGGAGTAATAACCTCTGGCCTCTACCTGGGGTGCAGACAATTAATCTGGACTCTAGTATCCCTGACAACACAGTGACTGTGCTACTCCCTGGTCCCCTGTCTACCAGGGCTGGCCTGCACGCGCCTCACTCCACCCAGCTCCACCTATAACACACCACATGACAGTGTGGATGCATCCTCGCAACCTGGGGCCCGGCAGGAGGCCGTGGAGCCCTGGCTTTGGTGTTGAATAAACTGGGGGATTAAGGCTGAACCAGATCTCAGAGAGGAGACGGACAGGAAAGCTTCAAAAGAATGGGCCAGGGAGGGGATGAGAGCAGAACGAAGGCGTGGAGGGCGGCTCTAGCCTCACATCTACCTTTCTTGTTCACGCTCTTTATTCCTCTCTCCTCTCCTCTCTTCCTTCTCTCTTATCTCTCTCTACCCTCTCTCTTATCCCTCTCTACTCTCTAAATTCCTCCATCTCTCTCCTTGCCTTCTTCCATCTCCAACTTCTTCCCTGGCTCTCTTCCTCCCTGCCACTCTTCTTGCTATGGCTCCTCCCAGTTGCACTGGCTGGTGCTGTGCTGTGCTGTGCTGTGCTGCGCTGCGCTGTGCTGTGCTGTGCTGTGCTGTGCTGTGCTGGGGCTGTGCTGTGCTGTGCTGTGCTGTGCTGGGGCTGTGCTGTGCTGTGCTGTGCTGTGCTGTGCTGTGCTGGGGCTGTGCTGTGGTGGTGCTGATGCAGTCACTTATCCAGCATCACTGGGTGACTCACCTCTCGGGTACCTAGGCATCCTCTGCAGCAGAAAGAGGCCTTTGTGTTTAGAACCTGGGCGTCACATGGCGCAGAGATCCGGAGAGTGAGCAGCACTGGGATAAAGCTAGGACAAGTTGTCCACAGCTTTGTTTATCAGGGCATTGTGGGACCCTGGCACTGAGGGACTCCTGAGTGTCCTTGGGGTCTCTTGGCAAGAGCAGCCCCTTCCCCAGAGCCTTTGGGGAAGTTTTTTTTTTTTCTACACGGACCTTGGTATACCCAGGAACACAGCAGGAAGGAGGTCTCTCAGCTACCAACATTCCCAACTCCCCCTTTCTGCCACACTCCCCACTTCCCCTGGAACATTTACAGCAAACCCATCTACAGCATTACTTTACTTGTGAAGGTTTGCTGTCTCCTGCAGAACAAAGCTGAGGAAACCTGAAGGAACTCTGGCCAGCTTGAGCATTGCAAGTGTGGCTCTGGCAGGCCTTGCCCTTCTCCCCATTCCCTCTGCCTTGCTAAAACCATTCCATTCCGTTCCTAACGCTAGTCACCAAGGTCTAGTCCCTATTTAGACACTTCTTCCTCCTGAGGCTGACCACCAAGGTTCAGCCCTTGAAGTATTGAAGAAGTCCAGCAATCAGAAACTCCCATCGGCTCACCCAATTAACACGCTCCATTAAAACTCAAACACCCCATCCTAACACAAAGTGTCCCCTTGCACCTTTATAAACCTCCATTTTACTATGGGTCATGTCTGTCTCCTCTCTATCCAGAGGCAGCCGTTTGTCATTGCCTCCCAACTCCAGGACAAATGCCTCTTCCTCTTGCTCTTTTCCCCTTCTCCCTCGCCCTCTGTCGCTTGTCTCTTATTCCCCGCTCTCTGTCCCTCTGGGGCAAATAAACCTGCTTTGTGCTGAGAACTTGGTCTTGGGGTCCTGGGCTGATGATGTTCCCTTCAAAACCCATCACGGACCACTGCTCCAGTATGTCGAGTCCCAAGACCCCATGCTGAGACCTGACAAACAGAAAGTGTGTAGACCGCTGGGTAGATGGAGAGATGATGGATGAGCAGACAGGTGGATGGGTGGGTAGATGGCTGGATGATACGTGAATGTTAGCTGGATGATGGATGAACGAATGGATGGTGAAGACGCAGATATGAATATACAGATGGATAGATAGTGGATGACTGATGGTTGAGGAATACATGGGTAGATGGATGGATAGACAGATCAATGAGTGAAGGATGGATGAGCAGACAGACAGGTGAACGGATGGATAAATAATGGAATGGAAGATGATTGGATGATACATGGATGGATAGTTATAGATGATGGATGAATGACAGATGATGGGTCGGAGGTGAAGGTTCATGATGCTTGGATGATGAAAGATAAGCAGATACATGAATGGATGAGTGAGTGCCTTACGTAGTTGGATGGATGGACAGAACTGTAGGTAGATAAGAGAGTGTGTATTAGATTGGGTGGATATATAGGTGATGAACGACTCAATGAGCAGATGGGTAGATGGGTAGGCTAATGGATGCCTGACATTATATCTGTGAATACCCGGTTCTTACCTGCAACTGATGCCTGCCTTCTCCTGAGCCCATGGCAAATACTCAAGGGGTCAAACCTTTTCTCAAGTTGCCTTCTGACTTGGCACCCAGGCTATAGTGAATATTTTATGTACGATGATATCACCATGGCCTTAACTTTAGTAGGTACTCCATAAATTCAAGAAAATAGACAAAGCTAGTCACCTCTGATGGCGCAGCCATTGACAGTCACATGCACAACCCGTCTTTGCTTATGGCGTGACTTTGGTTCAGTGTTCCCTCTCCTTGGCTCTATTTCTTGATATCCCTTTCCTGACCTTCTTTGATGGCTTTTCGAAAACAAGCCTTCCCAAGGAGCACAGCTATAGGGAGACAGGAAGTGAGGAGCAGCAGCACGGGCAGGTGTTTCTTCTCTCCCTGCCTTATGTGATTGCTCAGGCATTGGTTCCAACTCCTCTTTCATCTCTGCAGGCTTCCTGATGTAGGGCTCCTGACGATCCTAGCCTGTCCCCCTGAAGCTTTCCGCACCCATCCCAGACTCCAGGGTGAACACCTCCTCTTTGGATCTGGCTGGTTGAGCCACCATTAGATATCATTTCAGCCATCACTGCATTCACAGATATGTGGCTATCACTACACATTTCCAAAACAGAACTTCTGGCCTCGTTAAACAGCAGTCTCAGGGATCACGCCTCTCTGAGATGTCTCATAGATAGGGACCCAAACAATTTCCTGAATTGTTTCACCAAGCAGACCCTTCACGATCCAATATGCAAATGGCCCACAGCCTTATGGTGGCAACATCAGCACCAGCCCTAGCCAGGCTTGTAGGGGATGGAGTAAGGGAACCTCAGAAGATGTCTGGTAGATGTGGATGCTCTCCACATTGAGGTCATTGAGAGAGGAGGTAATAGATGACACCGGAGGCCTGCAGAGGTCGGCACAGGGTTAGATACTGGGCATCGTGACAGGCATAGCTATCTTTTATAAAGCTTTTAAAGGACTCACAATGCCATTCTGATCCCATTTATCAAGTAAGAAGCCAGGCCTGTCAGCCCACATGCCACTTAATGTCAGCAAATAAAATCCAATTATTAGAAATGTCTCAGAAGTCCTTGACCAGAACGGCAGCTGAGGGCCCGACTTTCCCACCATGAGAGAAGCTACTGAACAGAGTGTGACCTTGTGGCTGGGTGGCATAGCGGCCATGCTACAGTGGAGTCTAACACAGAGGGGACAGAGTATATAGAGACCGGGCAGCCTAAGTAGAGCCTGCAGGAAACAGGCACCCAAGAGCTGCAGACACCTTCAGTCAGAAGTGCTTTCTAAAGGCCCACCAGCACGGGAGTTCCCAGGTAAGGGGACAGGTAGGCAGCTGGCTACAGAATGTCCAAGGTTCCAGGGAGTCTCCTGCATGCTCAGGTTTGTTTGTGTAAACTATTAAAACAGAGATGGCTGCTTAGGGAGTTTGTGCCATCTTTAGCAAGCATAAACCTGCCTAGCCTTTACAGGACTGGGGAGGAGGTGGGGTATTCCTGTTGGGAAAATGAGTCAGGGGCTATCAATGGGTCCATCCAAATAATCTTTTGGCACAAATGTGCACATGGCCTTGTGGATGGGATGCTTACAGAAGTGAACAAGGACAAGCCTCTACCCAACCACCAGAGGGCATAATTTCTGACTTCATGTCTGTGCAGAGATTGTGTGCAGAGGGGGCCCCCTAGCGTCTGTTCTTCCACTCCACACCTCTTCTCTGCCCATTTGGGGTACCTATGGGGGCTGGTCTGATGTTCCTCCAATCTTCCCAGAATCCTTCTGCAGCTCCAAGCTTCACTGTGGCCTGTTTTCTAGAACGCCCAGACTACATGGCACATGCCTGTCCCCAGTGGTAGGACAGAGAGCCAATTCAGCACTCTGGGCAGCTGCCAGCTCTGACTCAGAGATCACAAGGAACACAGACAAGAAGGCTGTAATGGCTGAGGAGTACACAGTGAATTTACTATCACTAGAGATGGCAGGTGAGGACACAGTTTTATTGGATGGTGCTTCTGGTAAGTTCCACAGAAGGCCTTTTATTCATGAACACAACTTCTGTCTTTGCTACCTCCTGTCCTTTGTGAGTGGTGGACAAAGCTCTCCATCTCTCAGGAGCAGCTCCCTTCATCTGGGCAAGTTCCTCCACAGGCTGGTGCTGGGCTCGGGATGCCGAGGCCTGATGGTGAAGGCTGAAGCTGTGATCTCAGGGATGCAAGGGCAAGAGGCAGCCAGGGTGTTGGATAGGGCACTTAGTGGGACGATAACCCTGGCCTAGGTGTCCTACAGAGGGATCTCTATCAGCCCCACCCAGAGTGTTCAGCATCTATAAGGGCCCTCAGGACCCTGGCATAGCCTCCCCATCATACAAGAGCCCCCATAGCTTTCCAGCCTGAGGATGCTCCCCCTAAAGGGCATTGCACCCTGGCTTATCGCCCTCCCCCAAGCTTAAGCCTCTCTGCTATTAAACACAGGGGGAGTAGAGCTGAGGGTTGCATCTTTGGAACCACAAACAAAACAATCCCAAAATAATTCCTTAAATTCAGTCAGGCTGAAGCTGATCCTGTCACTTAACAGGGATCCCTGGACTCCCTACTTAAAAACCTGTTGTCCCATGATCAAGGATGCCATGACAATCACTGGGAATGCAAGGGGTGCTCTGGTGACAGGGCTGGTGGCAGGCAGGGACAGGCGGGCAAAGGGCCACCATGTAAAGGAGCTGGAGCCAGTACAAGGGCAGTCCCCTCCACAGCCACAGCCCCACCCTCTCCCCCACACATTGCAGCTACTGCCTCACTAAGTTCAGAGGTCCTCTCGCTGAAGGCCAGGCTCACAAGAGGCTGATCCCAGCTCCAACTCCCTTAAATTTGGACCCTCCCTCAGGGTCCTCTTCCAGCTAACCTCAGATCCAACCTTAATGGAGGTGATAGCAGTTACCACAGCCCCATGCAGGATCCTCTCCCAGACCTCACCCAGCTTCTTTCTGAGATCACGCGGTACTTAGGTCTGGTGCAGCTGGTCATGAAGGGCCTGAGCGGCTTCCCAATAGACTCTGGCTTCCACCTAGGCAACTGGGCAGGGCAGTCGCTTCCTCTTCTACCCACTCACCCAGCTAATCCACCAACTTGCCCACCCATTGTCCTCCACCCACAGGACAAAGGCTGTGACTTCCGTCTTGCTGTGGATACACTTCTGTGGAGATAACACGCAGGGCTGTGACAGGATGCTTCTGCTCTTACACCGAGGAGCAGGTACTGATGGGGGGGGGGAGGAACTGTAGTAATTATATGGGCTCAGGGACAACGTGCTCCAACCAGATGCTACAGAATGATCTTCCCTGGACACTTGCAAAGGGCCAGGTAGGGCTCAGGGTACCCATCCCCTTGAAGAAGAAACTGCACACTCTGGAAGTAACATCTGCCTCTTTGGACAAGGAAGCACTATGAGCATCAACTCCTTGTGCCTATCTAGAGGAAATGAAGGGACAGTCCTACTCTGACCCTGCTGAGAACACAAGGTTTACCATCATTCCAGTTCCCTGGAAGCAGAGGGCCAGAGCTGACACTAACCTCTGAGAGGTGATGTGGAGGGAGGAGAGCCTTTGCTGGTGGGAAAGGAGCAGTCAGGGAACTGTGACACTTCAGTGCCCAAGATCTGTCCGTCAATGGAACAGCTGGCTTCTGCTAGAAAGCAGGAAAGAGCCAAGCACAGGTGCACGTGCCTATGATGCCAGCTCACAGGAGACTGAGGCATAGGGGGAAGCAAACAGTATATAGGGGACCAGAGCTCAGGGCTTTTTGAGGGCCTCAGTGGTCACTGGGCAAAGGGAAAGGGAATGAGGTCCTGCCAGGTCTACCTTTACATCTGACACAATGGTTCTACCATCTCAGAATGCTTGGGGGAAAAGGTTCTGAGGCTAACATACTGGACTGCTTGGGCTTCTAAGAGGCTAGCCCCATGGGGGAAGTGCCTTAGGCATGCTCAGAGTATACAGAACTGCATGCTCTCAGGATACTGACACCCCTTCCCAAGTCTGCACCTAGACAACTCTAGCACAAGCCTCAAGGAAGCTTGAGGTTGTAGAAGAGAAAGGCAGAACACTTGGCCTTCATCTTGGTTCTCTGAAGACAAAGGGGCTTGCCAACCTTGGTTGTTCTGGAAGGTGCCCTGGGAACAGGTATCACAAATCTAGTAGGTGGCAGGCCCAGTAGCAGGTCCTCAAGGTCGGCCAGCACTGGTCCTGGAATGTGGTCTGATGGGCACAAACCTCAGGGTCCCAGGAGTTCGCCCAGTCCCGCCCCATCCACCCAGGGTGGGAATTTCCCCTCCACGTCCATCACCTGACCTGCAGCGGCTCTAGCAGCTGCAACAGTAACACAACAGAAACCACAGAGGAATGGGCACACAGATGTCACCCAGACACACAGAAAAAGTGGTGTGACAGAGCAGTGGTCCCTGTCAACAGGGACCGAAGAATCACAACAAAGACTTCTAAAAACAACATGGTTATAATGTTCACACATGCAGGTAAAGAAGACATTCAGCCACAGCTAGAGCTGTCTGCAACAGTCATCCTCAGTGTTTGAACAGACACAGAAAAACAAACCAACATTCCCCAAGCCCCTGGCTCTCATAGGTTCCTCAAAGGTCTCTTGATGAGTGCTGCTCTGTGACTTGTGACTTCATGCAAGCTGTTCACATAAAGGCTGTTACTTCCAAGTTTGGGGGAGCATGGACTTCTGGACATACGTTGGCCTCTGAGCGATGCTAAAACTAGTATGCAGTGACTCCATGGAACCTGGCCCTAGAGAAAGGCCTGCTGCGGACAGGGACACTAGAGTCTCACCACTGAGTTTGTCTGTCCATGGCTGAGGTGGGTTCAGACTAAGAGGGTGGCATGGTGCCGATGCTACTAGTGGGGGACGTGAGCACTGAGGTTAGGAGCTGAGCCAGTGCCCTCAGGACGGGGCTTGGGGTCCACCAGTTGGACCTCAAGTGAGCCTCCTGAGGGCTGGAGGGACACCCCTCAAGGCACTTCAACCTGATAACGTGGCTCAGTCTTCAACACCAGAGGCAGATCTGGCCTGTTGGACCCAGCTGCAGCTAGAGGCTCCAGAGTGCCAAGGGAGAGGGCACATGTCTCCTGCCATTCAAATGACACCCATCTGTGTTAAGAGCTACATTAAAACCACTAGCCAGAACATACGGAACCCTCTGTGTAAACAAGGAGCCATGCTCTCGGCTGAGTATGCTCTCTGACTAGCAGGCTGTCTGGGCCCCACGGCTGCGAGTTACAGAGCGGAGCTGCTGGGGGCCAGCAGGGGCAGCCAAGGTTCTTCAGTTGTCATCTGCCGTGGATGAGCAGGGCAAGGAAGAGCGGGCTGTGGCCACACACACACCAGGGTGCTCCTGAAGGGCCTCAAGCTTGATCACAGCCCTGAGCGCCACACGCGGCTGCCTCAGCTGCTGCTGTCTCCTGAACACTGTGTGCAGTGCCTGCAGCTGCCCCAGCTCCTGCATGGTGAAACACGGCTGCTGCTCTGCAAAGCGCACAAGCGCCTCGAATGAGGCGGCTGCCTGCTCCCAGGCTGCCTCGTCATCCTCAACAGCGTCCTTCTCTGCCTGCCCAGTGGCCTGGGACGGGGCCTCACCCACGTCCCTCCCCGCCACCCCCTGCTCTTCAGCCTTGCTGTTCTGAAGCCTAGGGCCAGAACAGGAGGGCCCATCTTTGACAAGCTCAAGGATGTGTGCGAACGCCTTATTGTGAGGCTTGATGCTGCAGCACTCGGCGTCCTCCTCAGAGGAGGAACCGTCAGTGAATGTGACCGTGGGCCACAGCTTCCTCCAGGCCCGCCGGAAGACCTGGCTAGGCACAGCATTCCAGGCACAGGCCACATTGACTATGGCATCGTTCATGCTGTGGCGGGTGGGGAAGCCCTGTAAGGCCACAGGAGGGTTAATAAAGAGCCTCATGAAGGCTCGGCGAATGCCCTGCTCTGTGGGCTGCAGTAAGGAGGTCACACTGGCAGGCAGGAAGATAGTGAAGACATTCTCCGACACGAGCTCGGACTCCTGTGGGTGGGCCCGTGAATGATCCAGCAAGAGAATTGCCTTGCTGTCTTCAGGCAAGCCTATGGTTCTAAAGTGCTCTCTCACTGAGGGGACAAAAATATGATGGAACCAGTCTGAGAAAATCTCCTTGTCTACCCAGGCATTACCCTGGGCCTTGTAAGCAATAGGCAGGTGCTGGATGCCTCTAAAGGCTCTGGGGCCACCACCCTTCCCAATGGCCAAGGGCTTGATTCTGTGGGAGCCTGTGGCATTGGCACACATTAAGACAGTCAGTCTGTCCTTGCCCTGTTTGAAGCGGGGCACAGTACCATCGTCCGGGGTGGAATTCGGCAAGCATCGCCAGACAAGACCGGTCTCGTCGGCACTGTACACCTGCTCAGGGGACAGCCCGTGCTCAGCTGCAAGGCTCCTGAAAAAGCCACAGAACTGCTCAGCAGCTTGGTGGTCGGCCACCTGCTTCTCACTAGAGGCATCTAACTTTTTAATGCCATGCCTGGCCTTGAAGCGCCAAAGCCACCCTCCGGAGAACACACAAGGCTCTGTCAGCCGCATCTGCTTATAGAAGTCCTTGGCCTTCTCGATGAGCATGGGGCCTGACACAGGGATGCCCTCAGCCCGCTTTACCAGGAACCACTCGTAAAGCACTCGGTCCAGGTGCTCCAGCTTGGGGGTGTGCAGCGTGCGCCGCTGCTCCAGTGCTTGGCGAGAGTCCGAGCTGGCAAAGAACCTGAGCAGCTGGGCCTTGTGGGCTTTGATGTCATACAGAGTGGACATGCCCACGTTATACTCCTGCATCAGGGCCTTCCTGCTCTCACCGCGCTCCAGCCGGGTGCAGATGTCAATCTTCTCCTTCAGGGTCAGCACCACTCGCTTCCGCTTCTCCCCCTTGCCCTTGGTTGCAGCCTGGTTGGAGGCCATGAGGAAGTAGTGCAGGCTGGGCTGGGCCTGTCCTTCCCTACCTATCTTTCTCTCTGGCCCCTGGGCCACAGTCTCTTCCTCCTCTTGTCTGCCTTTGTGCAGGACTGATCCTAGGGTCAAGCCAGGTTCATTCTTGGCTCTGCTCGCTGCCTACAGCAGTGACGTGCCTCGGTTTCCCTTTAGTGAGGCTCCAGCACACTTAGGCCTCACGCTCTAGTAGTGTAGTAGGCTACTGTTCTCTTCAGGAGAGGTGACAGGGTTGAGTTACCCTGGACAGCTGGGCGTGGCTGGAGCCTTCACACAGATGGCAAGAGGTGGCAGTTTTTCCCTTTCAAAGTGTCCAGGTTTCTGAGCTGGGAACACTTCTCACCAGGACAAGTGTCTTACCATACACTTCAGGAACTGGAAAGCAGAGAAGAAAAAATGTTACTGAGAACACTCAAGATGGGCTTAGTCACTTGAAAGCATCACTTCGAACATCGGCCTGGGGTTTGCTGTCCAGTCTGTTAACTAGCTCTTCCTTGCAGACCCTAGAGCAAACAGCACCAGCAACCTTCATAAATGCCCAGAAAAGGTTAAGAGTCACAATGCATCCCTAATGGCTTTGGCCTCCTCTAACCCCCACAACCTTATCTGGGTGGCTCCTCCCAATTAAGCATTTGATGAACCAGAAGGCTACAGGGTTACTTCCATGAGCAACACAAAAGCGCACCCAAGACCACAATGCAAGAGACACAAGACATATATTTAAAAGTGCAAGAGTTCCAAAAACCACGTGGGGAATGTTGGCTTGTCACTAGCCAGCTGTGTAACCCTGTTTCCTCCCTCAAGTCAGCCTCTTGGTCTGCAGATCGTGGTGCTGGTCCCCAAGGGCCTCCCATTCTAGTCATAGTGAGGGTGGTGCACACACCACTGGCTCATATGACAATTGCTGTGTGAGGCTCCCTGTGGAACGGAGGGAAATCAAGGCCACAGTCTACTCTGGGGGTGGGGGTGGGTATTCAGTAACAAACTCAGGGAGCTGAGGAATTCGGCAGCAACCTGAGGGGCAGACAACCTTTCAGGAGGAGCCTCAGCTCCTGATGGTGCCTGCCCTGCACTGGTGCAGAGTGGTTAAGTGGCTGAATCCACCCACTTCAGAAATGAAATTTTGCCAAGCTGAGTGTGGTGGTTCAAACCTGTCATTCGAGCACTTGAGAGGCTGGGGCAGAACTGCTGTGAGTAGAGGGCCAGGCTGGGCTACCTACCCAGTAAGTTCTGGAAGGGAGGAAGGGAAAAGAGGAACAGAGGGAAAATTTGAATCTTGTACTACTCTTAGAACTTCCGAAACGTGGCTGCAGAAATCCGGGAGGCTCCCAACCTTGGGACTTCAAAGGAAGCACTGACAACACAGAGCCACTTGAACAGGGGATTAAAGGATTGCTTTCTTGGGGCGGGAGTGTAAGCTCCTAAGAGGAGAGACAAATATTTTCGAGTCGGTCGTGAGACATCATAACCGGTGTTAAGAAACAACCTGACATCGGGCTGCAGCCCGGACGAGACTGAGAGAAAAACTCAAAAGATGGGCAAGAGAGGAGGGGAGGAACGACCGAGCTTGACCGGTCTGCGTGCCGGTGGAGCGCCTGGGAGCCGAGGGGACCCGATCCCGGGGGAGGACCCCTGAGAAGGGATCCGCCAGTCCCGAGCGCGACTCCTCCGGGCGGAGAAACAACGGCGCGCGTCCGGCTCCGGGGCGGGAGCGTAGGTCCGGCCTTCAGTCAGTTCGTGGTGGTGGCGACAGACCCGGCCCAGCCCCACTCACCTGTGGACCCCGAGCCGCCACTACCGGCGGGAAATGCCGGCCACGCAGCCCTCCACTGGTCCGCTCCTCACGGCCTTCCCCGAGCCACTTCCGGGGACGCTCTAGACCACCGGGAGGCTTCTATCTCAGTGGTGTCTAGCTCGCTACACCGAGGATGAGCAAGGAAGCAGTCCCGGCCTGGCAGCTCCCCCGCCCGTAGAACTACGAAGGGCAGAGGGAGCCGCGCATTCGTGAGGAGCGGAAGCCCGGGCTGAGCGTCCGGTCCTGGGAGCCCTGACCGGGCGAGCACAGACCGGAGGCTAAGTCCAGCGCCACCTTGTGATGGGAGGTTCCCAAGGCCCTCCCGTAGCCAGTATTCCCTTTCCATTCCTTTTTTGTTTTGTTTTGTTGTTTTTTTAAATGCATTTTTATTGATATTTATTGAGCTCTACATTTTTCTCTGCTCCCCTCCCTGCCTCTCCCCTTCCCTTCCCTCCCCCCCTTCAACCCTCCCCCAGGTCCCCATGCTCCCAATTTACTCAGGAGATCTTGTCTTTTTCCACTTTCTACTTCCCATGTAGATTATATCTATGTAAGTCTCTCTTAGTGACCATATTGTTGTCTAAATTCTCTGGGATTGTGGTTTGTAGGCTGGCCTTATTTGCTTTATGTTTAAAAACCACCTATGAGTGAGTACATGTGATAATTGTCTTTCTGTGTCTGGGTTACCTCATTCAAAATAATGTTTTCTAGCCCATCCATTCCTGCAAAATTCAAGCTGTCGTTATTTTTTTCTGCTGTGTAGTACTCCGTTGTGTAAATGTACCACATTTTCCTTTCCATTCCTTTTTAACAAGAGTTCAAAATGTGCCCA